TCATTCCTTCAGACCTAAAGCTCCTCAGCTTTAGGCAATGCTTTAGACAAGAACTGCACCATGAGGGAGGTTTACAGCTTTTTACGGAGTTCGGATTAGCATTTATGAGTTTGGTTCTTTGGCTACAGGTCATTAACCCTGAAATATTAATTGGGTTTGTGACCATGCAAACATATGTTCCCCAGAACTGTAAAGCTGAGCAGTGATACCTGTGTTTTCATTTCAGTTCACCTGCCTTTTCATGGAGCAGTGTGTGATAAGGTAGCCTTTTCTTTCCCCCATGTTTTCTTTGCACAATGTCCTGTGTAGCCTGCCAGGAAATGCAAAGTCTCCAATTGAAATGAAAATAGAAGATTATTGACATATCATGGTTTAAGTGACATTTTTCATTCACTTTTGTCAGATGCGGTGTGTTTGCAGTAGTATCTTTGATCGTCCCAATCCCAAATAGCAGTGATCCAAACACAGTACACAATTCCTACATCTCTTTTATCCTGCTGTATTTATCAGCTTTCTTTGGTTTTCTTCAAACCTGTTTTCTTTGCCAGCTCTTGAAAAGAGTCTGGTGACAGGCAGTTTCCCTTATCTTTATTTAGATATTATTTAAATCATCCTATTTAGAGTTTTGATTTTAAGATAAAGCAGGTGGTCTGACCAGGCACAGGAAACTGTACAATTTTATTTTGTAAGTTAATATGAATAATGTATAACATGATTGTTATACAGTGATACAAGGGTTATTTGTTTATTCTCTAATGGAAAAAAGAAATTAGGTAGACTACTGTAAGCCAAAAGCTGGCATCTGCATTACTTTGACATTATGATAGGCCAGTAATTACAATTTGCCAGTAATTATCCATGAGCCTTGAGTAGGGGTATGTAACCAACTGGCATTACCAGGATTGGCTGTTTTACTGAGCTCACAGACAAGGAGAGGTGCACTTGGGTCTCCAACTTGGCTTGTTTTGACTAGATGTTAGTTCCAGCAGAAAAAAGGGTTCAATTAGCAAAGTTCTTTCAGGTCAAAGGAAGCACTTTGTCTCTTGGCTAGTAAGTATCATTGGTGGGAGCCAGGGAACAATGACGGTTTGTGGGTGACAGCATTAAGCAGTTCTGCTGTTGTGACTAACTCAGCTAGCCCTGGTTTAAGAATTGGGTCATACCTGATGGGAGACATTAGGTGGTTTGTTTCTGCTGGGTTTTATGCTCTTTTGTTTTGGAGAGAACCTCTGAGTCAAATAATTAAGGAGGGGGAAATCCCACCAACAATAAAACATGAAGTGGATCTTCTGTAATAGTTGCTGGCCACATGCAGAGGGCTGCAGGCACGTGTGCACACCGTGCTCCCACCTCATAGCTGCGTGGATAAGTACTTCTGTTATGATGAATGAACCATGCGTGGTATGTATTGCGTGTTACTCTGAGTCACGTTTTCTAGAGCTGAAATCTACATGAAGGACTTCCATCACTTCTGAATCGTGCCAGCACATGTATTCAGTTAACCAAGAAGTAGAAGGTTTTTGGTCCTTGTGTGTATTTTGAGGAAAAGCATGTTTCTTGTATGTGTATTCTCAGGTACATGTGTTGCCTTGTGAGTGGGGTGTTGAGTCTGGATTTTATTGAGAGGTTTTTTGTTTGCAGTGGGTCTTTGGGAAATCTGTGTGTTTTGATGAAGCTGTTCTGAAGCACTTTATTTGGCTTACGGTAAGGGCTTCTTGTAAAACACACAAACAAAAGCTTGCCAGGCACCAGAAGCCAACAGGATTTCTCACATCTACCTAGCTTGGAAGCACCGAGGGAGTGGAAGCAGGGAAGGAAACGAAGCCCTTCACAAGAGGGCAGTATGCAGCATGGACAAGAGTGACCCATTCAGCTCACTCCACTGTCATGACAATGGGGTGGGAAGGGAAAGAAATACAGTAGATGCCACTACTGGAGAAATTTTAAACATAGAAGAAAAATGACCAGGAAAAAATACCAAAACAGTTCACTATATTTACTAATAAGAGATTTACTTCTTGTCAACTCAAACTGATTGTACTTCACCAGTTTTTTGCCTTCTTAAGATATACTCTGTTCATTGTATCTTTGTGTTCAGAAAGCAGCTAACAAATTGCAGACATGGTTGAGATATGAAGAATAATGAGGAAACAGTATGCTTATTCTATATATGTGGTTCTTCACCTCTCTTAAGATGATGTAGAAAATGTTTCTCTCTGGTAGTATTCTCTTATTCAATTTAATATTGAAATACTTGTAAAAAAACCCCTTTTTCTTCTGGCACAGGTAAAAAAACTATTTTAAAAGCTTGCAAAGATAAATATTTAATACCCTAATGGGCATCACAGCACTTTCAACAAGATTCACAAGCATCTAATGTGCCAGAAACAATTCTGCCATCTTGAGATTAAATGACCTTAATAATTGCTAAAAAATATTTTAGTACCTCGTGTAGCCTTGAAGTGAAAAGCACCCCTGAGTGGTGACCCCTCCTTTGTTTCCTTTTTCACCTTCTCCTTCATCTCCCTTTAAAATCTGAAAGTCAGTGCTTTTGTGGGTCTCCAGCAGAGCTGTGTCAGGAAGCAGCAGTGTAGAATTTGAATATTGGTTTCCTTCTTGGCAAAGCAAAGAAAAAAAGTAGTAATACATCCACAAAAGAGAGATCTGAAGGCACAAGAGGCTTTAATTTTTTACCCACACTCACGTAGGGTTTCACACAATTTACAGAGTGTATGTGCTGTCTAATGCCTTAGATGAGATACATCAGTAGTGACTCGTTGGAGCAGGTGCCAGAGGTACAAGAGGCAGGCTCTTAGGCTGAGTTTCCTGCTTGGTGAAGTAGGGCAGATGGATGCATTGTGCAAGCTGAAAGAAGGCTGAAGAGGAGAGAACTTTTAAAGGGAAGGAGGGAGAAACACATTAATCTTTTTCCCCACTGGTGAATTTTATTCCTCCCTTAGTTTGCCGAAGTTGACATATTATGCGTATTTAAAATACCTTGGTGTTTTGGGTCTTGTTTTGAGGACAGTGTTTCCCACATGGCACCTCAGTGATGGTGTGTGAGCTTGATCTACTCAGTGACTTCACAGCACTTTTTAGAAGGCAGCAAATGAATATTCAATGTTAGCTTTTGAGCTCTGAAGTTGATATATTTACTGCATTTCAAGAAGAATGATTAATTGGTAACTCCAGCGTGGACCTGCTCTTGCTGCTCCTGGGCTGTGTGCCTGTGTGGGCAGGGTCCCACTGGAGGCAGTAGGGCTCCCAGCAGCCACCAGTTCCAGCATCCTTCAAGCAGCTCCCAGGATCATTGCCTGCTTTCCCAAGGACCATCAGGATGCTCCTGTCAGCAAAGAACATTCTGTGGCACAAGGCAACAGCGCTGGACAATGAGTGTTGGTCTTTGCAAGGTCAAAATTGTGCTGAGTACTTAACAGGGAACTGGATTAACCGAAACAATCGCAAGTCAGTTTGCCAGAATAGCATAGCATTCCAGGACAGCCTAACATTTTAGAAGAAATGTATGAATAACACTGAAGCAAACAGGGGTGCCAAGGACTGAGAACTAACTGACATCAATACTTGATCCATCTTGGCAAGGGAAGGCTTGGGGTGAAAGAACAGAGATGTTACACAATGGCAGGTTTTCAGTTATTAATTGTAAATTGTCTTGCTTCTACTTTTGGAACTTGTGCCTGCTGAGTCCTGCACCTCTGTAGACGTTTTCATGGTTGCCAAAGAAGATTTCGATGTAAGGAGTGAGAGCAACTTCGTGTCAGTGCTAATGCACTATATAATCACTGACTTGAGCAAAGAGTCAGAGGGAAACCAGAGCTCAGAGATCGGGTGGGTTTTGATTTGGCAGCATTTCATGGTGGTATCTGTTGCCATAGTAAATACCTAGAAGGCAGCA